TGACCATTCCGAGGGGCAAGGATGCCTCCAGAACTATCAAGAGAACTACCAAGGAATGCCCTTCTTTACCCTCAAAACAACAGGGCCTCCAAATTCTTGCTTTTCCAATCCATCTCTTTTCAGACACCATCTTCTGGTAAGGCAATTCCACTTAGGGAGAAAAAGGAATCATCAGATAGTTAGAAGATGGTATGCTTAATTATCCTCTCAGCAACTGCTTTAAACACTTCTTGCTGTTTCAATGTCCTGAGCATCACCTCGTAAAGGTTGGCCAGTGTGGAGAGTAACTTCTGGAAAAGCAGTTAAGCATCCCTTGATTTGTAGCCAACAAGATAACTCTGTGTCAAAGGATGCCTACAGATGCCCCCAAATACGTGAAAATATAGTCACTAAAATTCTTTTTGGAAAGCATATTGAGAAATGTGGAAGATACAGGAGTGGTTGTGAAATTAAAAAGTAATGTGGCAACAAGTGAAAAATGATTAGAAACTCTAAACATGTAATATCGTTCTAAAGAAAATGGCTCATATCTATTTAGCTTGCTTGGTAGAAGATCTAGAATAGGCACCTCAAAATAATAAAATAAAATAAAATGTGCACATGCATGCGTGCCCAAAATCCTGAGAGGAGAATGGATCACAATATGGCCATTCCCCTGGGAGGTGCTTTCTCACTTTCTCTCTCTCTCTCTGCCAAGTGCACACGCCCTGTAGCAAATTAAAACAAAAATCCACTATTGGCGTTCAAGGTCACTAAAAGACACAAAGCGAAGTTCTCACCTAGTACAGCAGTTGCAGCTACTCTTTGGCTTTTTAGAGGTCGTCTTCCAGTGTTACGGTTTGGAAAAAAAATTCATGTTTTGGCACTTGGTTCAAATGGGCAGTGACGGGATGTGGTGATTGGATCACTGAGGCATGGGCCTCACAAACGGATGATGCTATCTTGTGAAAAATAGTTCTAGCTCTCCTAACTATTGGTTGATTCTTGAGTTGTCAGCCACTCACTCTCTGGATGTGCCTGCCATCTTCTCTGCTTCTGTCAGTTACATTGCAGGCCATTCTGATGCTAGGTCTATGCCTTTGGACTTTGCAGCCACCAGAATCATGAGTCAAATAAATCTCTATTTCTTTATCAATTACTCAGTCTCAAGTACTTCAGTTAGTGACCCAGTAGCAGATTGAGACAAATAGGTATCTCAAATGATAACTTTTTTTTTTTTTTTTTTTGCCATAGGGGTGTATGCTCACTGTAGAGGGACAGAGAGAGGGAAATTGAGATATCACCCCTCGAGGGAATGGTTATGACACAATCACTTCTCCATTCTCTTTTCAGATTTTTGGACATGCACACACATTCACCCAGGGTGATGATTTGCAAGCTGCTGGGTCAGAAACTACAATAGAACTATGGAGTCAGCCATGTGGGAATCCAGGGCCTTAACCACCACGCCATCTACTGATTCAAACCCCAAATTATTTGAACATTTATTGTCCAATTACCAATATGTTAGAAACTACTCACATTTCACTCAGCCTTACTAATTATAATTAGTAAGACAACACTATGATACATCCGTTATTCTATTCAAGATGAAAATATCCAGACTTGGAAGACACGGATAATAAACCAAACTGGTAGACCTGATATTCAAATCTAAGTGTAAATCCAGATGCTGACTCTTAACCAGTTTTCTATCACGTCCCTTCTCTTTTGACCCTTTCCCTTTGGCTTCTACAAAGGATCAGAGATCTGACAACTCAAAAGTGATGGTTGGTCCTAAGGCTTTTTAAATGTTTAAAAAAATATTCTTTTTAGTTTTTTTACTATAGGGTGCATGTGCTTGATGGAGAGAGACAGAGACAGTGAGAGGGAAAGTGAGAAACTACTCCCCCTTTGGGGGAGTGATGACCACACTGCAATCCCTTCTCCTTCATTCTCCTCATGGGATTTTGGACATGTGTGCACACATGCCCAACATGATTTTCAAGTCTCTGAATCTGGGAATCGAACCATGGTTAGCCATGTGGGACTACAGTACCACGCCACCTGCTGGTCCCTTTATTTTTAAACAGCAACTTTTGAACGTTATCATTCTCAGCACTGATTACTAAGATTACTGGTCATCTCTAAATTGGGATCAAGTCTACCAACATAAAAGCTCAAGTAAGAATCACCAAGGAAATAATTACTAACAAATATTTGTAATAAACTTAAAATTGCCCTTTCTATTCACATGCTGGGCCTTTTCGCTCCCACTTCTTGTAAGAGAGCTCTTCTCCACAACCAAGGAGGTGCCAAAGGATGTGAGAAAATGCCAATCTAGGACATTCCTGAGTGGGCTTAGGTGTACACAGAATAAGACTTTTGGGGAGGCACAATGTTTTAGAAGTTAGTTTACTTTTAAAAATTGTTTTTTTTTTTTTTTTTGGGGGGGGCCCGCAGTTAGTGTTTGGGGGGGGACCAGCAGTTAGTGTAATGGCTATGTTGCTGAACTCCCATGTAGCCGACTGAGGTTTGAGCCCTGGATCGGGTGGCTTAAAACTCACGCCGGGCACACGTGTGTGCGTGCCCAAGATCCCGAGAGGAGAATGGAGGAGAAGGGATTACGGCATGACCATCCCCCCTGGGGGGTGATTTCTCGCTTTCTATCTCTCTGTCTCTGTCTTTCTGGCAAGCACACGTGCCTTACAGCATAAACCTCTCCAAAAAAAAAAAATTTTTTTTTGTATTCTGTTCCAATAGCTATTTCATTATTTGTTTTAATGAATGTGTGATGTGAATGTGTAATTTTACTTTAACCTTGCCCTGAGGATAAGTTAGAAGTTAGAAGTATTTGAAGCATCCCAATCAGGTGACCAGGCAGATGCTTTAAACACAATGGTTATCTAAATCTACACTGGAGTGTTAACTGATCTAAAGGATGTTAGTAATTTTTCATTGTGAATGCAGCTAGAGGGGTAAGTGGTTGCCTAGAGATTAGAGATTAGATTTTGAGAGACAAAATGCATGAAATGAGGTGTAAGAATCCAAGTTGTTGACTTAATGAGTACATCTAGAGCTCTTTGCTTTTGTCTCCACCCCTCCACCCTTGATCCCCTGAACTGTTGCCTGTTCCAACCAGATTACCTAACCTTGCTTTGCTTCCAGAATATCACTGACTCTGCCTCAATGGAAATCTTCTATTCAAGGTGTTTGCAGGATTACTTAAAAGATGAGAAGAAACTGCTCCAAACTTTCCAAAGGCTCTGTTAGCTAATAAATATTTATTCACATGGAAGAATTGTTTTAGATTTCATTTTGTTGTAATAACACCACCAGACAGTAAGGTTATGTGGAAGGAAACAGCCTTATCTTCCTGTAATGGCTAGAGGCTGCTACCAAATGAATCTGTGACTGGCGAATGAACAAACTGGCCAAAGCTGTCTGAAATGGTGTAAAAAGAAAATGGGACGCCCTCATTCCATGGAAGGATTATATTTGACCCCTGAATGCTTGCCATCATGTAGTAGCCTACTGACGACCAGATCCTACGGTCACAGTGACTTCAGATTTCCAAGTGGTGGGCAAAAAGCAAACCAACTATTGCAAAGGTGCAGGTCATTCATTGGCTGTGTTGCTTTTAACAAACTAGTTAAGAATTCTATACCATTTCTGGGACCAGCAGGTGGCGTGGTGGTTAAGGCACTAGGCACTCCCACATGGCCGACTGCGGTTCAAGTCCTGGACCTGGCAGCTTGCTTTCTCAGTTTCTATCTTTCTCTCTCTCTCTCGTCAAATTAAAATAAATGACTGAATAAATAAAATTAAATAAACAATTCTTTAAAATAAATAAATATATAAATAAATAATAACCAGAAATGAAAAACTTGTTTGGAGATATATATATATAGCCTATTGTTTTTAAAAAAAATAATTCTATATCATTTCTCATAAAAACTTAAGGACCTTGAAGGTTTTCAATTTGCTAGTAACTGTACCAGCTTAAAATAAAAAGGAGAGCCAGTTCTGTGGCCTGGTAGTGAAGGCAACCAGATCCCACATGGCTGACCCTTCGGTTTGAGTCCTGGGCCTGGTGGCCTAAGAAATATGTCAGGTGTGTGTGTGTGTGCATGCCTAAAATTCCGAAAGGAGTAAGAGATGGGGGAGAAGCTATTGCATTGTGACCATTTCCCACGGGGCTCCCCCCCCCCCCCCCCCCCCACCCCACGCTCCTGCTCCCCGCCCTCTGGTGAGCATTGTGTGCCCTCTAGCAAAAATAAATCAATCAATAAAAAGGAAAACAGCCAAAATAGATCTACTGCTTTAAATTTTAAATAAATCTATTCTATATGCCTATTCAATGGAAAATTGGGAAAATGTCATTGAAGTTAAAATGAAGGGCAGTTGGAAAATTTCCCAAATCAATTTGAGTAAAACTATAACATATGAGAAACCTAAAAGAAGAGCTATGTCAAACATTTTATTTGGGGTTTCATGCTAGGTCAATTTAAACAAATAAAACAACTTTGTTGAACAGGTTTTTGTTTGTTTGTTTGTTTTTTTAATATAATGACTATGTGTACATGGACAACTGAGAACAGGTAAAAATCCCCAATTAATGTTTTTAACAAATTACAAGCTGTTACTAATGAGCATATGCTTGGATTGAAAAGAAATGGTCCAATAGACTATCTAGAAAATTACCCCCCCTTTAATAAAACACATTAGAGTGGTTTTTTTTTTTTTAAACACTCCACATAAAAACATGTTCTTCTTTTACATTTAGTCATTAGCAGTCTCTAAAGTGGTAAAATAAAATTGAATTATATCAGCAAATGAAAGTGCAAAGTCTGTACAGCTAGGCTCAGCAGCAAGAGTGAAGAACTAGAATGAAAACTGAAAAGCTGATGGATGCTATGCAGAACGAGGAAGTTCGTGCGTCAAATGCAGTCAACATTCCATCATTTTTTCATTGCTCTTAAACGAGCAAAACCGAATACTTTTTTTATTTAAAGAAATATTAAATCTTCATTCCTCCCCCACATAATTTGGGATCAGGTAAGGCAAAGGTAAGTCCCACCGTTACTGGGGACAGCAGCAACATACAGACTTCAGAGACAGCCCTGGATCGTCAGTGACATTCTCTCATAGTAACATTCCAAGAAATGCAGCTAATAAATCAAATTTGCAATGTTGTCACATTGTTCTGATTTATTTGATTAGTTTATCTGAAAAAAAAAAAAAACCCTTTACAAATGCATTATCTAAGACGACAGTAAGTTGTTTTCTTGCTTTGAAAAAATAATTTTTTCCCCACATTTTAAAACGTTTTAGTATGCTTTCACAAAAAAAGTTGCGAGAATGTGACAGCTGGGTTTGAAGAATGTCCATGTACAAGTTGCAAATGAGAAGAACCTGGTAATCTGCCTAGAATTTGCCTCTACCAATAGAGCTCTTTGCAATAATATTTAAACAAACAGGCTTAATTTAAACACCTCCCCTATTCACTCTATTTGTAGTCCAAAGAGGTACTTATTTTTCAAGTATTATATTGTAAAAGGTAATTTAAAATTTTTTTTTGGGCAATTTTACCCATTAAGCTTTTAAGATCAAAATATCTATGTGAAAGGTCATGCCTAATCAGCTTTTTTTTTCTTTTATAGCCAAATGCTCTCGTCTTTTAAAGAATGCAGAAAAATATTGATTTGCTAAGAAGGAGCACACTGAGAAAAGTTATCTTAAAGTATTGAAGAATACGGAGCATTTCTTTCTTTCTTCTGGCGAAAATTATTAGAAAAGCTATCCAGTCTGTTGTCTTTAGCTGGTTTTAATAAAGTCTTTTCAAAATGATGGTCAAGAAATCTTTAGAAAACTCGAGGAGGGGATGCTCCTTGATAGCATGAAAGGAATTCCATTAACTGTAGAAATTCTTATTAAATTTCTGCTTTAGTTCTTCAGAAGAAATGTTCATATGACTTCTACATGAGACAGAAAAAAGAACAGATTAGTATGACGTTCACTTCACATCTTGTTTAAAGAGTGCAACAGAGATGATCTTACATTTCTAAACTTTTACCATGCTGTTATATATGTCGTCTTATATAAGAATAGGCAATTACATTAGGATTCACAATCTTACACTTCAGTGAATTCTAGTAACGAAGAAACAAACTTTTCTTTATTTCAGCTTAGGTTGTATTGTTTACTTTTCTAAACTACAGACACTGATTGGAATTTTCTTGGAGGCTGGGGATTTAAACATTCATCTGTCTTGTACCCTTAGCACCTGGTGCTTCTGGGCTCCAAACATGTTGGAGCTTAAATCAGTATTCGCCGATAAACAGCCATGACCCCCAAAGAACCTTTATAGCACTCAAGATCCCAGATACTAGGCTACGTTTCCCAGAGAAGTATGGAAAGGGCAGGGACAGTGAGAATGGAATTCTAGGCGACTCAAGAGGTAACTGAAGGCCCAGCAAGAAAAGAAAAACCTCACCCAAGAGTTCTCACTCTCTTGTAGGAATAATCTGACATGACAAAGCAGGAAAATGCAGTAGGAGTGTTTTCATCAATGTAAAATTAACCAGGTTATTCCCAAAGCCTTAAAAATCAGAAAGTTAGATCTCGGAAGAGGCTTCACTATAAAAGTGAAGCTTACTAAGGTGAAGTTCCACTCCTGAAGTTAGGCCACCCGAGGAGAAAAGAGGGCTTTGGATAGTTGCTTCCCATAGACTTTTTCATCCCATTAAAAGTATTATTTGTTGTAGTTGTGGCCCGTGTTTAAAGGACAGGTGCCGAGGGAGACAGAAAGCCAAGGGGGCCCAAGCTCTTCAGTAGGTTCGAATCGGGGAGAGAGCAGGATGGTGCAGGATGGTGCACATCTAAAACGGACATGTGCTGGACCGCTGGAGTCAGTCTCCTGGATCGTCTCTGATAACAGATTTCTTCTGGGGAATAGCCAGTTTGTAGTTTTGATTTTCAAAACTCTGCTTCAACAAGATGTAAATATGAAAAGAGGCTATGGAGACTCATCCGATTCCAGATATGATGAATGTGGGCCACCAGGAAACCCTCCCTGAAGAACTGGTCGAATCAATCGTGTGCGTGGCCCCAGTCCTCCTCCAGTGGCTGGTAGACGAGAAGGTAAACGCCTGCTCCGAGCAGCAGACAACCGGACGTGTACATTCATAAACATGAGGAAACCGTTGAGAAGGAGAGGTCTGACCACACCAGACAAGTTAGATGAATGTGTCTGTTTGAACGAGGATTGCTCTGTCCTCTCAGATGAACGAGGTCATGCTGCGAACTCCCTCTGCAAGTCTGGCCTGACTGACGTGCAGTTCTATAAACGCACGTTTGTTTCAATACCTTTTTTATATAGTGGATTATCTTTTTTTGGTTTATATATATATACACGTGTGTGTGTGTGTGTATCTATATATATCTCGATACTATTTTAGGGTTTTTGCTATAGGGCATGTGCACTCTTCAGAGAGATAGAATGAGAGAAAGAGTGAAATCACCCCGTAAGAGGGTAGCCATGATGCAATCCCTTCTCCTTTATTCTTTTTCTGGGATTTTAGGCATGGACACACATACCCCTGGGATGATTTTCAAGACCCCAGGTCTGGGACTTGAACTCTTGATTGAGTATTAATAGGTAAATATTTTTTGGTTGCCAAAAGAAAAAGTGTATTTGTTAGGGCCAGCAGTTGGCATGGTTGCTAAGGCACTGGACTCCAAGATGGTCAACTGAGTCCTAGACCCAACAGCTTGAAAATCATTCCAGGCATGTGTGTATGTGTGCCAAAATCCTAAGAGGAGAATGGAGGAGAAGGCACTGGGGTTTGGCCACACAACTGGGGGGGGAATGATGTCTCACTTTCCCTGTCTTTCTCTGGCGAATGCGCATGCCCTATTAAAGAAAAAGAGAGAGAGAAAGAGAGAGATTTATTTTAGGTTCACAGATGGAATCTCCACAGCAAAATGATCTGACTATAAATAACTCTATACCAAATCCAGTCAAAGATTCTGACATTAATAATTCTGTTCATAAGTGTATAAAGAGATATTGGTCAATATGTGAAAGTGACTTGCTGAGAAGAGAAGCTGACAAATTCCAAATGTGTATGAAAAGAGGGGGCTGGGATTGTTCCAGTTAGTCTTGAGACTGCGAGGATTGTGCTGCTGACCTGCTGTGACCCGAGTCAGTAACATTTGATGTCACACCTTCTCTCTTTGTGTCTTGTGGAGTTATTGTTCTCTTTGCACAAAGACTTCAAGTTGACAGTGAGACCCAGAGACAGTGCATAAGAAAGTTCTAGGCAGTTTCAATAGCAATTATAGTCACTCTACAAGGGATGGAAGACCCTTAGGCTTAGTATTATCCCAGTTCAGAGTAACAATCTCATCCCCTAAACCATAATTGCCTATCACATTACTTTTTGTTTTGTTTTGTTGTTTTTTTCAGGAAGACTTTTGCTATAGGGTACTCGCTGGAGACATAGATTGATTTATAGAGAGAAAGAGACAGCGAGAGAGACAGACAGAAAGTGAGAAATCACCCCACAGGGGGGATGGCCACACCGCAATACCTTCTTCCCCATTTTCCTCTCGGGATCATGCCTGGTGTGAATTGTAAGTCACCAGGTCTGGGACTTGAACCACGTCAACTATGTGGGAGTCCAGCGACATAACAATTATGCTTATCTGCTGGTCCCTATCACATTATGTTTTAAAGAAACAGTAATATATTACTCAGGTTGTTAAACCCAAATAAGAGAAAAATGGTTGGAGAACACGTTGGCAATCTTGGACTATCTTAAGACCTGGCAGAACGAGGTCTGGTGGTTCAGGAGTTATGGAGAGGCAGGCAGTCCTGAATTACATAAAGCACAATCTGACTGTGAGTGACACTGCGCAGTTAAGGTCTGTTCTGAGCAGAGGCTGATGGATGCCTACTGATCTCACAGATTAGATTTGGCAAGATGGGAGAACAGGAAAGGCCCTCGGAATTGACCAACCCATCCTAAACTCCCACTTCTACAATCCATGCACAAAATTTGCACTGTAGCTTATCCAATTCCTTGGATGAAGTGTGACCACAGTGATACTGCAGGAGGTAGCAGTTCATTCCCTGCTGGGTGTCACATAGATGATTACAGAAGGGGGTTGGAGGCAAGCTTACCTGCGGTTTGTTGTGTTTGAACGCCATCTACCTGAGGGAGGGGCCCAAGTGTCCCTTCATCATCAAAGGCCAAAATTGGATTCAAAGGAATTTCTGGGCTCTCACTGTTGGTGACATCTAATCTGGATGGTTTAGATCCAATGGGTAAGTTTATAATTTCTTCAAAATTTTCATTCTGAACAGATACTCCATTTTCATTTGGTTGCTTTTCCAAATTGGGAGCACTAGAGATTTTGAAAAACCAAGATTAAAATGAGTTAGCATTAAAACTGGAAAACATATTTTCAGGACAACCAAAAACTGTTTTATAATAATTTATAACTTTACCTTAAATAAGTCAGACTGATTGACCACCTTATTACTGACAAAAATGGTGAACTGTGACATATTTGTATTTAAAATTCTTACTTCAAATAATCTGTATTTTTGCTATAAAATTTGTCAAATGGAACAATTGTCAGAACAGATCATCAACAACAGATACATATCAGCAGCAGTGACCTTACATGTTCAGCCATTTCTGCTGTGAGCATTTTCACATTCATTTGTCTAATAAAGAGCAGCCCTTAAAGAGAACATTCAGGGACCAGCAGTTGGCGTAATGGCTGTGTTGCTGGACTCCCATGTAGTTGACCGTGGTTCGAGTCTTGGACCTGGTGGCTTAAACTCATACCAGGTGTGTGTGCGTGCATGCCCAAGATCCTGAGAAGAGAAGGGATTGTGGTGTGGCCATCCCCCCAGGGGGTGATTTCTTATTTTCTGTCTCTCTGTCTCTGTCTGGTGAGTGTACATATCCTATAGAAAACAAAACAAAACAAAACAAAAAACCTCTCAAAAAAAAAAAAACATTCGTAGGTCAGCAGGTGGCGCTGTGGTTACGGTGCTGGACTTCCACATGGCTGATCTTGGCTAAGGGTAAATAGCAAGTCAGAAGAGAACTCAAGGGAGACCTTAGTTAGATACTGCACCCAGATTGCCTTCATAACAAGCGACCATACTGGTAGGACAAATGAATATAATTATACATATTCATTTTCAGCATTTAGTGATGTAGAGACTTAAACTGATATAATTTATTGCTGTGTGGATTCTCTCACTCTCTTTTTCCTGTCTCAGCTTAATTATTTGTGTGACGAAAATATTAAACTATTTTTCTGTTTAAAAAAAAAAGAAAAAGTTTCAGATCCGGCAGCTTGTTTTCTCACTTTCCCTCTCTCTCTGGTCAAAATTAAAAAAGTAATAATAACAAGTTAAAAAATTAAAGAATTCTGGGACCAGCAGTTGGTGTAATGGCTATACTGCTAAACTCTCATGTAGTCAACTGCGGTATGAGACCTGGACCCGGTGGCTTAAACTCACACCAGGCATGTGTGTGCGTGCCCAAGATCCCAAGGAGAATGGAGGAAAAGGGATTGTGGCATGGCCAACGCCCCTGGGGGGTGACTTCTCGCTTTCTGTCTATCTCTCTCTGTCTGTCTGGCGAGCGCACATGCCCTGTAGCAAAAACCTCTCAAAAATAAATAAATAAATAAATAAATAAATAAATAAATAAATAATTCTTTCAAAAAAGAGAGAAAATCTGCTTTAAAGATTTGAGGGGGTTAAATGATTTGCCCGAAGTCACACAACTACTGAGAGACAGTCAAGGCTAAATGTACGATCTTTTGATATTTAGTACTCAGTTTTTTTTGGGTGGGGGGGAGAGGTTTTTGCTATAGGGTGCGTGCGCTCGCCAGACAGACAGAGACAGACAGAGAGACAGAAAGTGAGAAATCATCCCCCATGACCATGCCACAATCCCTTCTCCTCCATTCTACTCTCGGGATCTTGGGCACGCACGCACACGTGCCTGGTGTGTTTAAGCCACCGGGTCCAGGACTCGAACTGCGGTCTACTACATGGGAGTCCAGTGACATAGCCATTACGCTAACTGCTGGTCCCCCCTGAGTTTTTTTCATTATGCCATTTTTATACTCCCTTGTATTCAAATTGTATTATCTCCAGCCTCCTAAGAGACTTGCATAATTTCATACGTCAATTGTTCAAAATGAAACTTATCTGTACCCCATAAATCTGCCTTCAACTCCACCTTTATCCTCATTGATTAATTGATGCTTAGTATCTTGGAATTAAAAAAACAATTTTTTTTTTTTTGCCTCATGTGAGCTAGCGAGAGAGACAGAGAGAGAGAGAGGGAAAGTAAGAAAGCAATTTGTCAGGTCTGAGACTTGAACTGCAGTCAGCCATGGTGGGAGTCCAGTACCTTAACCATCATGCCACCTGCCAGCTCTAAAATCATTGATTTTCTATCTATAGCCTCTCTTAGACTGTCACTCTCTCCAACCAAACTGGCAGCCTAGTATGTTACATTGCCTATCCGTATGGTGTACAACGCAGCAAACAATACCCGTGCATCATCTGAGCACTAGACTGACTTTACTACTTATTTCATTTGATTGCTCCGTGTACACACATATGCAAGCTTCATAAGCTGTTCAATGCTCGACATATTATCTCCAGTCTCAATAAGTCCAACTGCTCGAACATTAATGAGTCCATACAACTTTTCTCACTGCCTTCCTAAATACTAAAATAAAGCTAATGTAAACCCCATCTTCACATTGCCTTTTTTTGGTAAAGACTGCTTTTTTTCCCTATTGAATAGTTTACTCTCTCTACTTAGCAAAACATATTGAATTTGTGAAACAAATCCTTATTTTTTTTTGGGAGGGGGTAGGTTTTTGCTCTAGGGTGCTTGCACTCACCAGAAAGACAGAGAGAGACAAAGAGACAGAAAGTGCAAAATCACGCCCCCGGGGAGATGGCCACGCCACAATCCCTTCTCCTCTTGGGATCTTGGGTATGCACGTACATGTGCCCAGCATGAGTTTAAGCCACCGGGTCTGGGAATCAAACCACGGTCGACTACATAGGAGTCTAGCGACATAGACATTATGCCAACTGCTGGTCCCAAATCCTGATTGTTTTTAATGGCATGCACTTGCCAGAGAGAAAGTGCAAGTACCTGCCAATGTGCATGGTCATATTGCAATCCTCCTACCTCAATTTCTCCACCCTGTGAGAATTTGGGGTATCCCCAGTATGTTTCAAGTTATGGTCTGGGACCCTAACACCTAATGGTGGTATAAAGTGAAAATATAGACTGCTTCAAAATTAATCAGGGTAAATTCAAGGAAGAAAAATTTGAAAATAATTAAAAAAAAAACAGGGTTTCTTTTCTTTTTCTTTCTTCCTTCCTTTTTAAAATTGCTAGAGGGCCATATTCTTCCCAAAGACAAAGAGAGGGAGAACACATCTCCCAATGTGGCATGGTCATGCCACACTCCTTTTTCCTCCATTTCTTTCCTATCAGGATTTTGGGCATGCATGCACACATACCCTCGTGTGTGTGTGTGTGTGTGTGTGTGTGTGTGTGTGTGTTTTCCCTGGGGAGTGAGACTGGAACTGCAGCTGGTCGTGTGGGATTCAGCTTTTTATGCACAGCACTTAACCACTGTGCTACAGAGCCTGACTGGGGAAAACAGAGCTATGATGGTACACATCACACACCGTGTCATGCAGTAGGGAACAAAGAAACTTAAACATTCCCTACTGTTCAGGGATAGATGATTTTTCAAACTGGGCTCCAATTCTCTAAATGTATTTGAAAAGGATTTATGTTTCATTTATACAAAAAATTTACAAAACCAATAGAAGAAAAGTCTAACCATCTATCTGACTGATGATCCCAAAGCTAAGCTTTACCACATGATTGTAATACTGCATTTTGCGTTCGTATTTCAGAACATCCCAAATGTCAGTACGAGGTTCTTCGACAAGGGCTAATGACAAATGAACTAGGAAGAACCGGCTAAGTAAGTATTGTGCTAGTAACATGTAAAAGCCGTGACATCCCAGCCTGCTGTGTACAAGGAGGTTTGAGATTTTAAAGTAGTTCAGGGAGAGGAAAATCGCCAAGTGAAGCAACTCATCAGCAACTCCTGGGAGCATAGCCACCTCAGTGAAAAGGGCATCAACCAGGACCATGTGAATATCATTCACTTAACTTTAGGAAAATTCTTTGTAATAATGTGAATGTTCTTGGTCTAGTAGTGTTATTTTATTAAAAAGGAATTCATTTTACCCATCATCATCATCATTTTTTTTTTTTTTTTAATTTGATCAGAGAAAGACAGAGAGAGAGAAAGAGAGGGAAAGGGAGAAAGCAAACTGCCAGGTCTGGGACTCGAATTGTGGTTGGCTATGTGGGAGTCCAGTGCTTTAACCACCATGCCACATGCTAGCTCCCACAGTGTTATTTTTAAACTTAAATTCATGGTTTGTTGTTTTGGCATTATAAATGAACAGCTACCGACATTTTAAGCCTAGGTTTAAATTTGTAAAAGTAATATAAGTAACTCTGGGAATCTGCTAGAATTTTGTTCACTTTAAAGAAGAGACACATTTTTGGGGCAACGGGTGGTGTTAAGGTCCTGGATTCCCATACGGTACCATATGGCTGACTGCAGTTCGAGTCTTGGATCTGGTGACACGAAAATAACACTGGGTATGTGTGTGTGCATGCCCAAATTCCAGGAGGAGAATGGGAGAAAAGGGATTGTGGCGTAGCCATCCTCCTGGTGGGGGAGGGGGTGCGTGGGGGTGATTTCCCTCTCACTGTCTCTTTCTGCCTCTCTCCAGGTAAAGGCAAGCACCCTATAGCAAAAACTTAAAACAATAAAAATTAGAAGGAGCATACACTGTAGTAGGTGGCTAATAAATTTGATATGTTGGGTTTATTCTTCTATTATTCTGATGTTTGTATCTGATGCTAATCTGGACCTGCCTACATTGTTATAAAGACAAAAAAGGCCTATGCTAGTATTTATCCTAATTTTGACAGGGATCATCATATATATTGGGTTGTCAAAAAAGTCATGATGTCTTTTTTCATAGAAAAATACCTCATGTCTTTCCTGATGACCTAATATATGACAATTTATTCCTTGGGTAAAGATGGATGACACCAGTAAGTTCAATTCTGTTTAGTTACTGTCATTAGTCTGTGTGTGGGGGAGGTTAAACAAACAATTTTATTATTTATATAGTTTTACTTAGAATTATGCTTTAGGTTCTTACATGATGATTAACTACTTGGCGATTTTAATTAAAAAAAAAAAGAGTAAGCTAATGTATAAACTAGTTTTACTGATCCAATAGAATTATTATTGGTTTATAAATGGCAGTGTATGTTACTTGGTTTCTTATCATAATAATGGGATTCTCTTTGTAATAGCTTTTATTCTTTCAAAAAAATTTTCTAAATTACAGCAATCGGGGATTATTATTATTTTTGAAAATCAAACTAAAACTAAGAAAGGAATACCTTTGGAACCAGCAGATGGCATAATGGTTATGTTGCTGAACTCTCACATAGTCGATCTTGGACTGAGTCCCAGACCCCGGGGCTTGAAACATATGCTAGGCATGTGTGCATGCCCAAAATCCCAAGAGGAGTATGAAGAAGGCATTGTGGCATGGCCATCCTCCTTGGGGGATAACTTCTCATTTTCTGCCTGTCTGTCTTTCTCTGTCTCTCCGGTGAGCACATATGCCTTTGTAGCAAAAAATCTATCTAAAAAAAAAAAAAAAATGCTATTTAATATTTATCTTAGGGACTAGCCCTGTGGCCTAGTGGTTAGGGGAGCCAGATCCCACAGGACTGATTGTGTGGCTCCATTCACACAGCTGGATGTTTGAAAAGCAGAGTGCATGTGCATATGTGCCCTAAATCCTGACAGGATGGAAGAATATAAGAGATGGGACTGTGGCATGACCACTCCCCATTAGGAGGTCCTTTCTCCTTCTCTGTCCATCTCTGGCAAGTGAATGTATCCTCTGGCAAATAAGAAAAAAAAAATGTATCTTAAGTAACTATGACAATAAATTAATTTGACATATGAAAGCTTATTAAGATCTCTCAGGAAAACTATTCTCCTTTTTCCCTCCCACTTTGCTACAGGGCATAGAGAGAGAGAGAGAGAAAGCACTCTCCAGAGGGCACGGCCATAGTATAATCCCCTTTTATCCTCTATTCTCCCTGGGTTTCTGGACATGCAAGCAAATGCGCCTGGCCTGCCTTCCAAACTACTGGGTCCAGGACTTGAACTATACAGCTAGCCACATGGGATCCAGTCACCCCAACCACCATGCTATCTGGCTGGCCCTCTCTCTTGTTTTCTAAGATAAGGTCTTATCATGTTGTGGTTTTCCTGCCTCAGTTATAGACACATACTATCATATTAGCTCTTTAGGTTGAACCGGAAAATGACATTTAGGACTCCCATGTGGTCCCAGAATGCAAAACAGTGTCTTGGTAGTGTGTGACACTGCAGCTAAGCCCAGAAAACTATATTCTTTGGTGTTATATTGGAAGAAAAAAAAAATCTTACTGTAGATGACCCAATGCCTCCAATTACATTATAAAATATTATACAATGTGTATTTTTAGATTAAGAATAAAGTTAGAGGGGCCAGCAGGTGGCACAAAGTTAGTGGCTGGTTCCCACATGGCCGATGGCGTGGTTTACGCCTCAGGCTCAGTGGCTTGAAAATCATGCTGGTAGATAGGCCTAATATCCTGAGAGTAAAATGGAGGAAAAGGGACTGTGGCATGGCCATGTCCCCTGAGAGACGATTTCTCACTTTATCTCTCTCCAGCTCTGATGAGTGCACATGCCTTATAGCAAAAGACTAAAAGAAAATAGAAAAAAGAGAGAACCTTAAGTTCTCTGTGGTTAGCAAAGACTCTGGAATCAAAGACAGAAAAACTCAAAATAATAAAGACTTTAGATTCTTAAAAGTTACATCTAAAATTTTTGAGCATTATTAAAAAAAAAAAAATTGGGACCAGCAGATGGCATAGTGGCTATGCTGCTGGATTCCCATGTAGTTGACCGTGGTTTGAGTTCCAAACCCGGTGGCTTAAACTCATGCTGGGTGTGTGTGTGTGTGTGTCTGTGCGTGCCCAAGATCCCAAGAGGAGAATGGAGGAGAAGGGATTGTGGCATGGCCATCCCCCCTTGGGGGGTGATTTCTCGTTTTCTGTGTCTCTCTCCCTGTCTTTCTGGCTAGTGCATGTGCCCTATAGCAAAAACCTGTCCAAAAGAAAAAAAAAATTCCTACGAGTTCCCCTTGACTGGATGTTTACACACAGATAACAACAACCCTTATTTTTTGTTTATAAAAATGTTCTTATGTTGTTGACAATCTTTCTTCAGCCCATACTCCTTTCATGACTGTTGCTAGCAAAATGTTTGATTCTTCAGTATGAAGGTTGGTTGGCTTGCTTTCTCACTTTCTCTCTCTTTCTGTCTTTGTCTCTCTCTGGTCAAATAAAAAAATAATAACAATAAATAAGAAAAGAAAAAGAAAAATGATATTTCACTTTTCTCAAAGTACAGAATTAATAGCTCTACCAAACAGGTTTGGCAGGTGGTGTGATTAAGGTTGTTGGACTCCCACATGTCTGACTGTGGTTCAAGTCTCAAACCTGGCCGCTTGCTTTCTCACTTTCTTTCTCTCATTTTATCCCTCTCAGCTCAAATTAAAATGAATAAAGTTAAATAAAAACAATTCTTTAAAATATAGCTCTACCAAAAATTAATTAATTCAAATAAGAGTAAATCTTAATGTGTAAAACTCTGAAATTCTGTCAAGTGGAGAAAATTCTTGGAGTTGGTGGGGGTAAAAACAGTAGTGTCAGGGCCAAGCATGTGGCCTCGTAGTTAAGGGAGGTGGATAGCAAATTCCAGCCCCAGCAGCTTGACAAACATACCTAGTGTATGTGCTCAAAATCCCAACAGGATGAAGAAGGGATTGTGGAGTGATCACACTCCATGGGGAGATGCCTTCTCTCTTTCCCTCTGTCTGTCTCTGGAAAGTGTACACATCCTCTGGCAATGACTGAAAAAAACCAGTGTGCTTAGCTTTAATGCGTATTAATGAAGAAGACTCCAGAAGTTTAGCTCACCTATCCACAGTCACTTTTGATTGGAGTGAGGTAAGCACTTGTGGGCTGGCCGCTGGTCCTCCAGACTCTGCAGAGGTGGTCACACATGGGAGAGCACCTACTTCTGGACATAGAAAGGGAAACAGAATACAGGGTTACTAATATTTGATTATGAAACCAAATCCTGGTGGCTAAGATGCCTGAATCTGTGTCCTGGCTCTACTACTTATCAGCTATGGTTCTTTGGGCAAGGCAGTTAAACTTTCTGTGCCTCAGTTTCCTCATCAATACTAGTATTTACCTCACACGCTACTGGGAGAATTAAAGGTACTAAATACATGCCAAGTAATTAGAATAGTGCCTGGCACATTATAAAAGCTAAAATAAATGTTATTTTTGCCTGTACTAATTGGCTCTCCAAAATGTATATAATATTGATACCAAAGCAACTGATGAAAGAGCAGTAAGCCGACTCTATCAGGCTTAAATGAGTATCTTTTTTTTTTTTTTTTTTTTTCTTTTTTCTTTTTTTTTTTTTGGAGAGATTTTCGCTATAGGGCGCGTGCGCTCGCCAGACAGACAGAGAGAGACATAGAGACAGAAAGCGAGAAATCACCCCCCAGGGGGGATGGTCACGCCGCAATCCCTTCTCCTCCATTCTCCTCTCGGGATCTTGGGCACGCACGCACACGCGCCCGGCGTGAGTTTTAAGCCACCGGGTCCGGTACGCGAACCGCGGTCGACTACGTGGGAATCCAGCGACATAGCCATTACGCTAACTGCTGGTTCCCTAAATGAGTATCTTTACTGAAGGATTCAGAGGAAATCACCATAGAACACCGTACGTACTAACAACTCAGCTTGATCTGAGTCATTTAGAATGAAGATCTCATGAATGAAAGGCCATAGTATCATTTATGGCTCTATGTTGGAATCCAGTTTAAGCCAACAGTACTGATGATATAAAATCTAGGACAGAGTTTTTAAAGTCTCATAAACCTTCATTCAAGTTAGAGTTTCAAAGAAATCTAATGGTAGTTTATGGTTTTAACTTGACAGGAGAAAATAATTTAAATAATTCTGAGTGTTATTTTACAACCTAGCAAAAAATCTGTAGGTCTGCCAGAGGTACAGATTTACCTTAAACCCAAACCAAAAGAGTGATGAATAATTTTAAAATTGATGAAATTTGAAAAGCTGGTAAGAGGCATTTTCTGAGACAACTTCTGACAGGTTGCCTGACCTAGAATTCTCCCTGCAGTACTGGTGATGCCATTCAGCCCTCCACCAGCTGTGGTATTGGGAGAAAAGGAATAGTTGCTAGGCAAGCCTCTTTCTAGCAGTTTTGACTTAAACTATATTTATATGAGCACTGATAAACACAAGCATGGTGACTAACAAGTTTCACCTTCTCTCTTGCCTTGGTTCTTTCTTGGACTGCAGTATGTAGACTCTTAAAGGAACTGAGAGGGGAACAGCAGGAGGAGGAAAAATGAAAACAAACAAGGAGCCTGGCCAGCCACCAACTACAGCATCAGCCCTGCAGATAATCCTGAGTTGATGCCATTTATATCCCAGATTGATCATTCTCATGACTCATGTGCTATGCCTGCTTCAAGCCTATGTCTATTATGAAATTTTGGGTACAGCATGCTGAGAGTGCCATCGGTTAATATGCTACCACTATTTCCAGACACGTACAATTAAGGCACCTTTAAAAAAACATGAAGGGTTGGCCCTACAGCCAAATGGTTAAGGGAGCTGGATCCCATGTGACTGACCACAGTTCGAATCCCAGCCCTCACGGCTTAAAAAACACACTGGATGCCTGTGTGTGCATATCCCAAATCCCAAAAAGCTGGAGAAATTGAGGACAAAGGACTGCAGTGTGACCACACTACATTGGAGTGTGCTTTCTCCCTCCTTCTCTTCGGTTGAGTGTACATGTTCTCTGGCAATTAAAATAAAGAGCATTAGGGCCAGCAGATGATGAAATGGTTACGTCGCTGGACTCTATGTAGTCAACTGTGGCCTGAGTCCTGGGCCTGGCAGTTTAAAACTCATGGCAGGTGCATGTGCATGCGTGCCCAAAATCTCGAGAGGAGAATGGAGGAGGAGGGATTGTGTCATGGCCCCCCCCCTGAGGAGTGATTTCTTGCTTTCTGTCTCTCTTTCTCTGTCTCTGTGGTGAGTGCATGCACCCTATAGCAAAAATCTCTCTATAATAAAATAAAGAGCATGAAACCTTCCTATAAAAGAATCATAATATATAAAAACTATAATGGAAGAGATTCTATTGAAAGAAAACTGTACTAAAAATACCAATCAATATTTTATATTAAAAATCCCCTAAAGTTTGTAGTGAAATGTTCATCTTGTGAGGTATTCCAGCATTTGATTTTCTTCATAATTGAATACCTCTGGTCCTTTCTTTTCACATTGATACTGGAGATAAGGAAATAATAAGACTGAATAATGAGCCTTCTACTACCTACCTACAGGTATGATCATTAAGACCACATGGGAGCATGCGAGGACCAGGTGACCTGAGCGCCAGCCCCGTGAACTGGCCAGTTGTTAGAGCCAACTGCCCCATACCTGTCTTATTCACACCGAATCCCGAAACCTAAAAAAGGGCCTGCCATACGGAAGAGCTCTGGAACTGCCTGCTCACTCCAAGAGAAGCATTCTCTACCTCACGAGGATGCAGTGGGACTTAAACAAGAAAATGCGTGAAAGAGATCAACCTGACACAAAAAGAGCATTTAATCAGTATTAACTGAAGTACTAAAACTAATGGTAATTTCACTTTTATTTAAGCTTCATTTGGTTTAAAACCACTGAAGAAATAAGGAATCTGTCTAAAACCTATAGTGTATGAGCAACTTACAACAAATTTCTAATTTTAACTTTATTCTGCACTCAGAACTATTGAATAGAAGATATAATGTCTAAATCCTGTTTTGGGAATGGCCAACAGTACAAGTTGTTAATTTCAATTTCCATTAAGAGGAAATAGAAATATGTACTACTTTAGCAAATAGTAAGATAAATAAAATTTAATTTTATAGGGGCCAGAAGGTGGCATGGTATTTAAGGTACTGGACTTCCACAAGGCTGATCAGAGTTTGAGTTCTGGACTCAGCAGCGTGAACTCACATTGGGTGCATGTGCATGCCCATCCCCCCAGGGGGGATTTCTTGCTTTCTTTCTTGTCTCTCCAGCAAGTGCATGCACCCTACAGCAAAAATCTCTAAAAAAAAATTATTTTTATAAACTCAAAGTAAAAATTTCAAAGTGTGTGTATGTATATGTGTGTATATATATATACACACACACACATATATAAATACTTCAAATACATATACAAATATACATACACGAACATATACATATTGTACACACACACACACACACACACACACATAAGGTTACTTAAAATATTAAGCAGCTCATTAGAGTATAAACCAATTGTGAAAACCACCTGGCAGGAAATGCTAGAGAAAGTTTTGCACAAGGGGAAAATGTGTGTGGGGACTAGATGACAGACATCTAAGCTTCTGTGGGTTTGTATTTTTTCTGCCCAAATCCATGACTATTTTGACCTTTAAAGAATCCATTTAAAATTTTTACATTTGAATTCATTGATCTGAGTTTGATGACAGAAATACCTGTTTCTCCAGCGAGTGTTCCCTTAACTATATCACCATTTCTCTGATCAACAGTTTTCTATAAACACAAAACAAATGTATAAAAATTAAATTTACAAGTGAAAGTAAAAAAAAAAAAAAAAAAAAAAGAGTCATCAAGAATAGGTAAAAACCAGACACTTCAATACCTTATCAGAAGCTTCTGTTCTCCTGGTTCTTTTCATGATCTCCTCAAGTCTCTGCAAGAAAGGAAGAAGTGAGCAGAGGATCAGATAAAGGCCAGCCTGGCGCATCTCACGGGGGAGGCAAACAGTGGATTGCTGGGTTGGGGAAATACAACATGCACTGCTTTCTCTTACTTGGAGTTACTCAAAAGAGTTGGAACTGCCTGAACAACATGAAGTGGAAGTAACTGTTTTTTGTGAAGGCTGAAACTCTCAGAATTGTTCATTTGGAGATTATTAAAACTGAAGGCTCCTCTGACTTATCAGGAAGTTTTTTGATGGCCACAAGCTCATCTCTTGATCTTGAGATGGATTCTGGTCTGGGAAAGAATAGTTAACAGGGACCAGCATATGGTGTGGAGGTTAAGGCAGCTGGATCCCACATGGCCAACTGAGAGGTTTGAGTCTCAGACTTGGTGGCTTGAAAACCACACTGGGTTTGTGTCTGTGCAAAATCCCAAGAGGAGAATAAAGAAGGGATTTCTGTGTGGCCATTCCCCCAGGGCGAGGGGTTTTCTCAGTTTCCCTCTCTCTGTCTCTGGCAAGTGCACACACCCTATAACAAAAATAAAATAAAATCAAGACAGTCCATGGCCTGAGCTCCTGCTGGGAGGCACAGCTACCTTCTTTCTCTCCAGGCGTTCCTGCTCTTCTCTCTGGAAATGCTTCTCTCGTTCTTGACGAACCCTCTCGGCCTCTTCACGAACACGAGCTTCTTCTTCTTTCTGGAAAAAAAACAGCCTGGCTTACAAACAGGCTGGCTTTGCCTGCTACCCCCCTCTCTCTGGGAACATCCAGAGGTGGAGACAAGATGGCAGATGGAGACTGTGTGGAAATAAGAGCACACACGTGAAACATGGAGTACTTCTAAAACCAGTCAGCCATCTTTGCTCATCTCTGATGAATCTACCCACTCGGAGCAGGCAGCTGCAGTGTGAGGCGTTTCCCTGAAGCCTGGAGACCCACACCTGTTTCTGGAGGCGCTCCATCTCCTCCCGCTCCCGACACTCCTGCTCTTCTGCTTGCCGCCGCAGTTGCTCTTCCTTCTCCTTGGCTTGCTCAGCTTCCAGTCTTCGCGATTCCTCCTCGCGACGAGCTCTCTCTTCGGCTACCCTTTGAGCCAATTCCTCTCTCTTTTGTCTGGAAACAAAGGCAGAGCAAACACATGAGGGGAGTTCCTTGGAGAGACGCCTGAGACTGTGGGTATAGTTAGGATGGTTTGTTCAAAGGTTTAGCAGAAACATCTCTACCAGATACTTTCAACATGGTGAAGGGACAGAGTGTGAGGCATCCTCTGTTTGTCCTCTTCCCTGTCCAGCTTCATTGCTGCTCACCAAACAGAAGCAAAATGTAACCAGTAATATTTTAAGAAGAGCTCACTGGGACTGGCAGTTAGCATAATGGCTATGTCGCTGAACTCCCATGTGGTTGACCGTGGTTCGAGTCCCAGACCTGGTGGCTTCAACTCACTCTGGGCGTGTGTGCGTGCATGCCCAGGATCCCAAGGAGAGTGGAGGAGAAGGGACTGAAGCATGGCCATCGCCCCTGGGGGGTGATTTCTTGCTGTCTCTCTGTCTTTCTGGCAAGTGCATGAACGCTGTAGCAAAAACCTCTCAAAAAAAAAAGAGCTTACTTTTCAAAGGCTCTGCAATTTAATAATTTTCAAAGACTGACTCTTGTTTAATAAAAATGATGTGACTTTTTAATAACAAGTTTAAAGCCTTCACTCTCCAAAAGGAAATCTGTGTATATAAATAAAGGTTATAATGCTCTGCCTCTGGACAGGAAGAGGGTGGGCTGTATAAGCTTCCTGCTGGGAGCAAGGCAGGTGTGTCCAAGATGGCGGCCCAGCACTGTGTGGAATTCCTCCCAAGGTATTCCTGGTGTTCTGTCTGGTAGGCCATCACGGGGCACTGGAATATCTCACTCAGCTACCTGCTGAGAGGGATTTTATCTGGAAGGAAGAAACAGGAACCACTACTGCAGCTTCAAATCAATAACTACAAAGATGAGGAAATCTGGAGCATGGAGCTACGCTTAGTGAAAAATCAGAGCACACATAGGTACCTCTGCTGTGCTTATAATCATGTAAGTATATTTGTGTGTTGTATGTATGTATGTATACAGACGTATACATGCATGCCTGCACATGTACACATACACACGAACACAACCCCCCAAGCCATTCAGAAAGAACCGCCCAAAATGTATACAATTAACTGAAAACTGGTAAGATTATGGGTACATTTTTTTTTCTTGAAACATTTCTCTCTCTCTTTTTTTTTTTTTGAGAGGTTTTTCACTATAGGGCACGTGCGCTCGCCAGACAGAGAGAGACATAGAGACAGAAAGCAAGAATTCACCCCCCCAGGGGGGACGGTCACGCCGCAATCCCTTCTCCTCCATTCTCCTCTCGGGATCTTGGGCACGCACGTACACGCACCTGGCGTGAGTTTTAAGCCACCGGGTCCAGGATGTGAACCGTGGTCAACTACGTGGTAGTCCAGCGACATAGCCATTACGCTAACTTCTGGTTCCCTTGAAACATTTCTCTATCCATGTGGTTGTATTATTATTAAAATAAAAAAATGTAATTAAAAAAATCATTTTGACAGTGGTCAAAAAGACATCAGGTAAAAAGAATTCTGAAACCACTAATGCATACTTTGTTACTGCCACTACCTCCTTTTTCTCAGACAAGATTTACTTCATCCAGGGTATCTCTATATCACTGACATCACATGGGTGAGCAATGTCACCTCTTTACCTTTCGAGCTCTTCCTTCTCCCGCCTCTCCCTTTCCTCCTTCTCTCTCTGCTCTCGGGCCAGTCGCCTCTTCTCAGCCAGCAGCCTTGTGGCCTCTTCAGGGTCGGTGGTGCCTGCTGAGGTCTTAGGAGAAGCACTGACAGTCACAGTGGATGGCGGGGCTAGGACTGAGGCTGGGGCTGGGGTTGAGGCTGGAGCAGGAGTAGGGCCTGGAGCAGGGTCTGGTGCTGGTGCCGTGGCTGGAGCAGCTGTACAAACAGGTACAAGGAGAAAATCAACTGGAAACAAAACCCAAAGACCCTGACAAAAACTAGCATTCCTTCCACCCCAGGCCTAGAATCCATCTTTATAAAAGAAAGGGAATCTCTGTTACTATGTGTTCTCACGGTTTCACTGTACTCTGTCTGTAACCAAGCAACAGATACCCAAAAAACTGCAAGTGTAAGTAAGATATCCAGCAAAGCTGACACTCTGTCACCAAGTCTTATTTTTATACCAGTTAAATCAGTTAACAACCTCTATCAGAGGCTTACTGAGTGTAGAGTCTCATGTGAGGTTCTGTGGCAAGTTATATCCTGAGCAATAAAGATGAGATCTTCCATGTGTCTTTTAATAATCCCTAAAACATTCCTACTCTTTAAGTGACTAATCATTGCTAGAGCAGTAAGCCTTTCTATGACAATCCTCAGTAGCTATGAGTCCAGGTTCTGGCTGGGATGACGACATCCAGTGAAGAAGCCCCTTTTGTCCACCCAGTCTGAGATGTTCAAGCTGAGGGCCTCTTCCAGAGTGGGCCCTCATACTGCATACACATCCTGGGCCTCCCTTGTGAGTCCTGATGCCTTGATGCAAGATAGCAGCAGAAATTCTTGGCCTTTACTCAGATTTAGGAAGATGACCCAGGGAGCTAGTGCAACAGGGAGCTCCACAAGGGTTTCCCCATTCTGTACTGCAGTGAGGCACCCAGGAGGTGTGATCTCTGGCATCTGACCATCCCAGATCCTCCTTTCAAGATGGACCTTTCTATTTCTGCTGCCACAGATTATTTTTTATAGTCATGACACTCTTTGGCCCTTGCCTTCTCCCTTCTACCATACAAGCAAACGCTGGAGCCTTCCATTCTCCTGCACTTTCATCTGTCTTGAGTCATCTATGAGGAGTCTTCAACATGGTCATGGAAAATGTGTTTTATGGAATAAACAATCCATGCATTTAATTTTTTTTGGCATCAAAATAACATACTTTAATTCCACTTTTTCATAAACTTTCTGAAGTCTCCTTGTATTCTTTCTTTGTCACTACCCTTTACCTTCAAATTCTTAAGCAGAAACCTTTTAAGTAAAGATAATTTTTAAAAAATATTTTTTATTTCATTTTCTTTTATACATTCAATCACATTATTGGGACCAGCAGTTAGCATAATGCCTATGTCACTGGACTCCCATGTAGTTGACCACGGTTCGAGTCCCGGACCCAGTGGCTTAAAACTCATGCCAGGTGCATGTGCGTGCATGCCCAAGATCCCAAGAGGAGAATGGAGGAGAGGTACTGCGGTGTGGTCATTCCCCCTGGGGAGGGTGATTTCTCGCTTTCTGTCTGTCTGTTCTGTCTCTGTCTGTCTGGTGAGCACATGCGCCTTATAGCAAAACAAACAAACAAACAACAAAAAAAAAACCTCTCAAAAAAAAAAGTAGACTAATTTCATCTTCTTGAGTGTGAATTCAACTTAGTGACTTCTTTTTTTTTTTAAATAAAGATTTTATTATTATTTTAAAATTTGCTATAGGTCATGTGCACTTACCAAAGAAAGATAGAGACAGAGGGAAAGGGAGAAAACAAGCCACCAGGTCCAGGACTTGAATTGCGGTTGGCCACATGGGAGTCCAGTGCCTCAACCACCACGCCACCTGCTGGTTCATGATTTGCTTCTAATAAGCAGAATATGACAGAAATATTGGGGTGTAATTTCTGAGAGAAGACCATAAAAGACATGTGGCTTCCTCTTTATTCTTTCTTTCAGATCAATCCCCCTAGGTGAAGTCAGCAGAGCAAGTAGATTATGAGGACATCAAGTGACTTATAGAAAGGTTCATGTGTCATGAAACTAAGGTCTTTGCCAATGGCCATGTGCATAAGACATCTTCTAACTCCAGTTGAACCGTGAGATGACCACAGCCCTGGCTGACAGCAGGTCTCAGGAGAAACCCCTAAGCCAGAACCACCCAGCTAAGCTGCTCCCAAATTCCTGACCCAAGAATCTATGATAATAAATGTTTGTTGGTTTAAGCTGTCTGGTTTTGGGGACAATTTGTTACACAGCAATACGTAGCTTATATAAGTGATTCTGACCAGATGCTTTAAGTACCACATTTTGTGAAACACTGGACCCAACCAATAAACATACTCAGAAACCATGCCAGGATTAACAATGCTGGGCTCAAACAGCAAGTTTTTGAATGCACGATTCTACTGTTTTTCTGTGTAAGAAAATTACAGTTAAGAAAGGCCCTTGAACTGGCCTCAGAGTAAAATTTCCAAGTCTCCAGTAAGAAAAGGAAAAAAGGTAAGCATAACCAGTGCATGAGAGAAACAGAAAGCTAGTAGAGAGAGCAATCACCGCAATGCTATCACAAGCCAGTTCATTCTTACCAGGGTCTGCTTCAGTCTCAACAGATGTCCCCTCTTCAACCGTGGCTTCTTCTACCTTCACTAGAGATGCTCTACCCTTCAGTGAGGGTTCACTGGCAACTTTCTGAGGTTCCTTCTCAGGCTCTTTCTTCTCAGGTTCCACTTTAACTTCTCTCTTCACAGGGCGGATGTTGCCAGGGGATGGGGGCCGGATTTGAGCAGAAGCAGCTTTGACTGATCCAGAGGGCAAGGAGGATGCTGGCCTGGGTGTGCCAGGCAAATGAGGAAAGGACTTGGACGGGAGCCTGGGCAACAAACAAACCAAGTGGAGAGAGAGGACTCATCAGAATAGGCTTAACAGAACCTAGAACACCAATTTATAGAAAAAGAAAAGTAATTAGAGGGGACGTCAAAAAGTTTATGGAAAAATGAAATCAATGTTCAAGTTTATTTTGGTGCCAAAGTTTATTTATCTGGCAAATGCAAAAATAGAGTCACTTTAGAGACACATTCCAATTTTCTTTTTTCTCTCCTTTGAGGAAGAATGTTGTTCCCTAAGTTAAAGCCAAAGAAGTGTAGGGAGAGTAGTTCACGTTCAGAGGACAGAGGCTACTAAGTCTCTGACGTGGAGCAACCCAGCCAGGCGCTTACATTTCACTTACCAAAGTCGGGAAGAAGCTGGTGATCTTGCTTTGGGATTAGATGGAGACAGAGCCCTTCGGATGCCAGATGTAAGGTGGAAGGGTACATTTTCTCTTTCTTTCTCCTTTTTATAGCCCTGAGTTCAGAGAAACTCAGTAATTAGATTTTTCCAAGACAACCTCATTCATAGTATTCAACAGTAGAGTTACAAACTATTTAATGATTTTTTTAGAAGTTTTCTAAACTACGTTATCTTACACATTCTACACTGACAAAAGGCCTTTGTTGGGGACAGCAGGTGGCATGGTGGTTAAGGTACTGGATTCCCACAAGGCTGACTACAGTTAAGTCCTGGATTCGGCAGCTTGAAAATCACAGCGGGCACATGTGTACGTGTGCCCAAAATCTGGAGAGAAAAGTGGAGGAGAAGGGACTGCAGTGTGGCCATCCCCTCACTGGCCCGGGGGTGTTTCCTCACTTTCCCTGCACCTCTTCTCTCTCAGGTGAATGTAAACGCCCTGTGTTAAAAACCTAGAAAACGAGTTTTATTAGTGTAAAAGTGCACAGTATAACTGAATTATAATGTAAGACAAATAAAGTAGCTTTGGATGTGTAATTTGGAATTGCATTTGTTTAAAAAATTGGGACCAGGGGGACCAGCAGTTGGCATAATGGCTTTGTCGCTGGACTCCCATGTAGTCAATTGCGGTTTGAGTCTTGGACCTGGTGGCTTAAACCCATGCCAGGCACATGTGCGTGCCTGCCCAATATCCCAAGAGGAGAATAAAGGAGAAGGGATTGCGGCATGGCCATCCCCCCTGGGGGCTGATTTCTCACTTTCTGTCTCTCTGTCTCTCTCTGTCTTTCTGGCGAGTGCACACAATCTATAGCAAAAACCTCTCAAAAAAAAAGAAAAAAATTGGTACCACCAGATGGTGTAATGGTTACACTGCTGTACTCCCACATAGTCAACTGCAGTTCGAGTCCTGGACTTGGTGGCTTAAAACTCATGCTGGGCACATATATATGCGTGCCCAAGATCCTGAGAGGAGAATGGAGGAGAAGGGACTGTGGTAGAGGCATCCCCTGGGGGATGATTTCTTGCTTTCTGTCTCTGTATCTCTCTATCTGTCTCTCTAGTGAGAACACGTGCCCTATAGCAAAAAACCTCCACCTTTATTTATTTATTTTTAAAATTACACTTATAATTTTAGGAAGTACCAATAGTTTATGTCTAAAAATACTTAAAGCAAAGATCTCTTGACAGTTTGATTTCTCTCATACTAATATCAAAATAAAACTTACTTCCACTTAGAAAAAAACTTTTAATTAAAACTTACCATTTTCTTTTTTAACACTTTAGCATTTTTCTTTTTTTTTTAACCCTGGAATATACAATTGCTATTTTTTTTTTTTTAATTACATGTCTTCTGTATCAGGCATTAATTTATTTTTTTTACTTTCTGGAGGTTACAGAAATGAGTCCTTCCTCACTGAGTGTCCTCTTGCTCTTGAAAGAAAGCCAGTTTTAAGATGAAGAATTTTAGCTATTTCTACTACTCTTTATCAGGGGTAAAACTGAAAATCTGGGGTGGGCCAAAATATTAGTCTTCCCCAACAGCCAACTAGGAATTCAGTCAGAGATGACCCCTTTCCTAAGTCAGATGGGGGAAAGTGCAGCCTAGAGAAGTGTTCTAATATTCTAAAATCAATCAAGATTAAAAAAAGAAAGAAAGGAAAAAAAGAACAAGTGTAGGTCCAAATAGATATACTCTGAATATCTGAAACTTTGCAAAAATGTTTTAGGATGGGAATGGATGCTTCATGCAGGCACCTGTATAAACATCTGCCAGGAAGCTGACTGCAAAGGTACAAGGAAGGGATGAATACTATCTAGACTGAGGGCAAAGAAGTAGTAGCTCAACTTTTTTCCTTTTCTCTCTTTTTTTCCTGCCTGGCTCAAGCATCAACTCCTCCATTCCTCTCCTTCCTTTTTGTTTCCCTCATTATCCCTTTCTAATTCCATTTTCCGTAGTAGTATCTTAGTTGGTGGACTGAGCTATAGGTGGTGGAAAACATCTGCATGTCAACTAATACTGTCTTGTGGGATTTTTTAAATTAAAAAAGAAGAAGAAGAAGACAGGAAAGGAAGGCCCAGAACTCTTCCCAAGGTAAGCTGGGGTAAAGTAGTCTTTCAAAAATCTTTTTCTTGAAATATTTTAATCTGGCTGAAATCAGATCAAAAGGAGATCTGAATGAGAAATACAAGTCAGGAAGGGCAACAATTTGTGATGCAGACAATTTGTCAACATATTTCGTCAGCTGTGCCTTGATAAGAAAGGAATCAGGGTATGAACCTGCCCATATCAATAGTCTGGATATTGTACCAGCAGGATAAAGACTTTAATTTTATAATTAGAAGTAAATTTAGACCAAAGATGTCCCCTAAGAGAGACAATAAAATGATAGAAATTAATGCAATATGGTCCAATAGAACCTTCACTGTCCGCAGAAAGAGATCCTATGTTCATGGATTGGAAGCCAATAGTGTCAATACTGCCCCAAACTATTTACAGATCCTATGCAATACGTATCAAAATCCTAATGTCACTTTTTACAGAAACAGAAAAATCCATCCTAAGGTCATATGAAATCTCAAAAGACCATGAAAAAAAAAAGTTGAAAGTTTCACACTTTCTGATTCTGAAACATATTGCAAAGCTACAGTATCAAAATAGTGTGGTACCAGTATAAAAACAGACACACAGTCCAATGGAATACAACAGAGAGTCCAGAAATAAGAAACCCTTGTGTATGTGGTCAAATGTTAAGACCACTCAATAAGGACACACTCTTCAACCAATAATGCTGGGAGAAGTGGATATCCACATGCAAAAGAATTAACTTAATTCTCTAACTTAGAGCCTTACTTTATACAATATTCAAAAATTAACTTGAAATGGACTACAGACACAAGCAATAAGACTTAAAATTGTAAAACTCCAGAAAGAAACATAGGCAAAAAGCTTCATGAGAGTAGATTTGATATTGATCTGATACTATATTTTTGTCTGTAACACCAAAAGCATAAGAAGGAAAGCAAAAAGACAAATGGAACAACAGCAAACTTTAAAACTTCTATACAAAGAATGGAATCAATAGAGGAAAAAGTCAACTTATGGAATGGGAGAAGTACTTGCAAATCATAAACCTAAGAAGAGGTTAATACCCAGAATATATAAATAATGCCATCAAAACAAAACCCAATTAAAAAAACAGGAAAGGGGGGGTCAGCTCCATGACACAGTGGTAATGTGCTATTCAAGAGAAGCTGGATCCTCAGTGAGCCTGAAACACTTCCAGCATGTACATGAGTGCCCAAGATCAAAAGGGCTGGAGGACTGGAGGAAGGGGCTCATGGCATGACCAGATCCTGTAGAAAGGGCTCCTTTCATTTCCCTCCTCTGTCTCTCTCACATGTTTGCACATACTCTATCATGGACACATTTTTTTAAGAATGAGCAAAAGACTTGAAGACATTTCTTCAAAGATGATATACAAATGGTCAACAAGCATATGAAAAAGATGGTCAACACCTGTGATTGTTAAAGAATTGCAAATTCAGGGACCAGCAGATGGTGTAATGGTTACATCACTGAACTCCCATATAGTTGATCACGGTTCAAGTCCCAGATCTGGCAGCTCAAAACTCACATCAGGCATGTGCACACGCATGTCCAAAGTACTGAGAGAATGGAGGAGAAGGGACTGTGGCATGGCTATCCCCTCTGGGAGGTGATTTCTCGCTTTTTGTCTCTCTGGCGAGTGAATGGGCCATATAGTAAAAATCGCTCTTAAAAAAAAATTGTAAATTCAAATGACAATATCACTTCACTTCCATTAGAATAGCAATTATAAACAAAACAAAACAGAAAATAACAAGTGCTGATGAGGAATGCAGAGAAGTTGGAACTTTTATACACTATTGGTGGAAATGTAAAATGGTGCATCTGCTGTTGAAAACAATGTGGAGGTTTCTCAAAAATTAAAAATAGGATTGTTTTATGATCTGGTAACCCAACTTCTAGGTAGATATCCAAAAGAATTGCAAAAAGGATTTTAGATAACTTGTGGCATGGGAGTTAAGGCAGGTGAATCCCACATGGCCGATTCTGTGGCTTTGAGAAATATGCTGGATGCATGTGTATATGTGCCCAAAATCCCAAAAGGAGGAAGAGTGAAGGAAAAAGGATTATGGCATGATCATACTTCATGGTGAGGGTGGGAGTGTGTGTTCTTTTTCATTTTTTTTTCTCTCTCTCTCCCCCTGGTGAGTGCACATACCCTCTTGTAAATTACAAAAGGAAAAAAAAGAAAAGGAAGGAGAATCTCAGAGATATTTATGCCCATGTTTATAGCAGCACTATTAATAAGAGGTGGAAACAACCCAAATGTCCACCAATGATGAATAAACAAAATGTGGTATACATGTACAATGGACTATTATTCAGCCTTAAAAAAAAAAAAATTCAGACACATGCTACAACAAAGATGAACCATGAGAAGTGAAATAAGCCAGTCACAAAAATCCAAACATTTCATGATTCTACTTACTTAAGGTATCTAAAGTAGTCAAATGGAAAGAGATAGAAAGTAAAATGGTTATTGTCAAAGACTGAAGGGAGGATAGGTGGAAATGCTGCTGTTTAATGGGTACAGAGTTACAGCCTTGTGAGATTTACAAAGTTCTGGAGACCTGGTTGCACTACGATATGAATATACTTAATACTGCTAAACTTAAAAATGGTTAAAATAGTAAATTATATGTTATGTGTTATTTACTATAGTCAAACATTTTTTGAAGAATTAAAAATTCAAGGGACCAGCAGTTAGCGTAATGGCTATGTCGCTGGACTCCCATGTAGTCGACCATGGTTCGCGGCCTGGACCCAGTGGCTTAAAACTCACGCCAGGCGCGCGTGTGTGTGTGTGTGTGCCCAAGATCCTGAGAGGAGAATGGATGAGAAGGGAATGTGGCGTGGCCATCCCCCCTGGGGGGTGATTTCTTGCTTTCAATATCTCTGTCTCTCTCAGTCTCTGTCTGGTGAGCGCACACGCCCTATAGCGAAACAAACAAACAAACAAACAAACAAAACAACTCTCCAAAAACAAAACAAAAAAAAAAGAATTAAAAATTTAAGGGCTGGCCCTGTAGCTTAGTGGTTAAAGGAGCTGGATCCCAGCTGGCCAAACACATTTTGAATCCCAGCCCTGGAGGCATGTGTGTATGAGCCCAAAATCCCAACAGGATAAAGAAACAGAGAAGAGATTGTGGTGCGCCCATGTCCCATGAGAGGGTGCTTTTCTCCTCTCCTTGGCAAGTGCATATGCCTTTGGCAATTCAAAAAAATGTTCAATTTGTCAGTTTCACCAGCCACATTCCACATATTCAAAGTGATGTCTTTACCAAATTCTACATTGCAGTTTTACAGTAAATGATTGTTGGAATAATTTCCTGGCAATAGATATCTGCCTAAACATTTGACACTAAAGAAGGCTAACTGATCAAAGAGAGAGAGAAGGCATTAAAAGGGGGGGGGGCGGGGCTCTGCAACAAATGGTGATAAACCCCTCTCCTTTAATCTGTTAGCCAAGGGTCGGCTCTCTATCTTCCTTCAAGGAGTGTTCATTTTTTTGTTTTCACCAGTAGCAAGATATTTTTCCTTTGGTAAATGCTCTTTTTCTGTCCAATAAGTAACCAATGTGGAGGAGTCCAACCAGGCGAGGCCCCAGGATCTGTCTGAGCCCCCCGACCTTTGAGCTCCGCTTCTGGTCAGTTCGTGCATGAAAAGGCACCAAGGCCTTTGTCTTCTGTTCACCTGCGCCGCCTCCGTCGAGTCAACCTAACCCCCGCTGAGGCTGGACCCCGGCACCAATGTTTGGAGCCAAAGCCATCCTGTTGAACTATCCACAGCTAGGACCTCTTAAGTAGCAACATGCTAAAGAATTAAAACTTCAGATATCAAAGTTGGTTTTACCTTTGGCTTATAGGGCTAAAGGCCTCACTCAGTCATGAATCAAACACAGATTTTTGAAAGCCTAAGGGGTTTAAAAGAAAATTGCCCATAGGCAAAGCCATCAGGCTCTCACAACTGCTGAAATATCCTCTAAACAAAATCCTTTTGCATGTCTGCCAGCTTTATAAACCTGAATTGCTCTGGAAAGTTTAGATTTAAAAAAAAATGCTCTAGTCTTTCATTAAAAGGGTCATACTATTAGGGCTAGCAAATGGAGTGGTGGTTGGGGGAGCTGGACTCCCACATGGCCAACTGCAGTTTGAGTCCCAGACCTGGCGCTTGCTTTCTCGCTTTCTCTCTCTCTTACTTTGTCTCTCCTTGGTCAAATTAAAAAACAAATAAAGAAATAAAAGTTAAACAGAATAATTCTTAAGAAGAAAAGAAAAAGGGTTATACTATTACTGCAGGAGAGAGGCAATGAGATGTGACTGGCTGGTGAATCCTTTAAAACTAAAGTCTTGAGCCAGTCAGTGGTATGATGATTAAGGTGGATAGATCTCACATGGCCAGCTGCAGTATGAGTCCCCAGATTCAGTGCCTTGAAAAACACTCTAGGTACATGATGAATGCCTGAAATCTCAAAAGGAGGAAGAAATGCAGAAGGGATTGTGATGTGACCATATCCCATGGGGGGTCCTTTGTCATCTTCCCTTTCTCTGTTTCTCCATCTCTCTCCAGTGAGTACATGTGCCCTCTGGCAAAACTTTAAATAAATAAGGGAACAAAAATGAAAAAGGCACAAAAATGAAAAGTTATTTAGTGATTATATAGTAGTATCTTTAACTGGACTAATAAACACTGTAGCCAGGCTCAGAAAAACCATTTTGTATGCTGTACAGATGTATACCGATTAAATGTAAAATAAGTAAATAAATAAATAAAGTCTACAGACCAAAGAACAAAGTCTACATTTTTCAAGGAATATCAGTTTAAAACAAAGACAGTTTCCTGGAGACTACAAATTACCTCACTGTATTTACAGCATGACATTAGCTCAGCCACCTTGCCAATAATAGTAAGTATAAATTACATTCTTCAATTACCAAATTTGAGTTTATAGCATGGACCAACAGCCCTTTAAGAGTTAGTTATTTAACAAATAACTAGGGTTTTCAAAATGCTTTTTTCCTTACATTTCAAGATCTGGGCCTTGACAGGTATTAACTAAGCGGGATAAAAATTATTTACCTTGTTTTTTAGTGAACTGCATTTAGAATCTAGCTAGCTTCTGGATACTGTTGGAATAAAATGCCAAGGGAATAGTTCAGGCCTGATTCCCTGTTACAGGCCATTTTTTTTTTTTTTTTTAAATTTTCAAAAAACAAAAATTCTTGCCTTAACTAAGCGGGATAAAAATTATTTACCTTGTTTTTTAGTGAACTGCATTTAGAATCTAGCTAGCTTCTGGATACTGTTGGAATAAAATGCCAAGGGAATAGTTCAGGCCTGATTCCCTGTTACAGGCCATTTTTTTTTTTTTTTTTTAAACTTTCAAGAACGAAAAATTCTGGCAATGCACTTATATGGAGGATCCAGCAGGATAAGTCACCCACTCACACAAGCTTACCGGAGAACAGTTTTCATTTTCAAATTCAAATTTTGCAGGACAGCAAAATGCTCAAGTGGAGAGGAAGTAGAGGTACGTTATTGCCCAGATGGCCAGATTCGTGATTGGTGGGATGGATGAGATGGTGGATGTCATGGCCTTCTCTCTCAAACCGGCACCACACCTTGGGGCTGTGTCCACTCTGCCCAGAAACAGTACTGGCTCCCAGACTCGCCCAGCTGCTCCCAAGAGCTACTCACCGCTGTGCCATGAATGGTCCTCCTGCGCGTGGAGCCCTCGGGTGGTGTTACAAAGAGTTTTGGTCGATCCATCGCATTTCTAGAGTGTGCAGCTTTGTAGGGCATGATGATGGGGCTGCAAGATGCTGAACGAGGACAAATGGGGATAACTAGGGTGCAGATGATTGGTTTTACACACAAGAGTGCCAGAGGAGCAGTTGAAGAAAGCCGAAAGCAGGTTCAGGAAAAGGAGCAAAGCAGAGATAGAGAGAAAAGTAGGAAGAAGATATTATTACCTAAAGGTGCCCAGAACCATCATACTTAACTCTCCTCAACATCTTAGGAGTTTATTATGTCCAAAGAAAGGCACGTCCAAGTTAAAAATCTGGAATACATTGTTAACTATTTGGCTATTCAAATACTGATCAAAGATATGGATGTAGCCTAATAATCAGGGAGAGCGATGGCCTTATATTCCTGTAAATTGATGGTTCTGGTGAAATGCCACATTAGTGATACAAGATAATTTTTATACGCATACTGGTTTATAATCAGGTTTTTCTCTAATTAGCTCTAAGATGGACTAAAAGGTGGAAAGAGAGGAAGCGTGCAAGCAGGCAAGCAAGATACACGGCAACTATTTCAAGAGTCAAGCTCAACAGCCGGTGGGGAAAAACAGCAACTCAATTTAAAAACTGTTAGACGACCAAGTCTTACCAGCTAAGACCTGTGACAGGGATAAGTAATAATTTCCAGAAAGCAATTCTGTAAATATTTTTTTCTATTTAGAGGCAAACCAAATGCATGCTTCTGGGGTCTTCCCAAAAGCCAAGGCATTTGATAGTTCATAAGAAGCAGCATAGAACAGGAGAGGGGAGAGTGATAGAACTATTGAAAATGATGAACAGAACATAAATGTGTTATAATTGCCAAAAATAAGGCCCAATCATAAATAGCTTTTACAGTTTTACTCAAGGTGGATTACTTTTTGAAAAACCACATAGTTTCTGACCATTTACCTTTAAAGAACATTGTTATTAACCAAGTTATCCTGAGCTAATAATAGGTTTAAAGAAATTCATGTAATTGCTGCATAGGTATCAAAAATGTAGGTACTAAGGTTCCAATTCCCATTTTCAGATCTTATTCAGAAAACTTATTTCAAGGAAAAAATTGGATAATTAAACATGACTTCCAAGGATAACACTATGTATTTGGACCACATTATAAAATGCTTTTACCCAACTCTAGGCATTGAGGTCCTCCTTTAAAGGGACCATTATGCCAACTGAATGTAATAGGATTACTAAATTAAAAACTCCAAAGATCACAAGACAATTTGGAGTAACTTTACTTTTGGAATGAAAGAATTTAAAAATATTTAATGACTAGCTTGATTTAATTTATAGATAAATCAATCAGATTACACTTTTATTAATGCGTTCTCTTTCACATTAAAAGCCTCCCAGTATCTTCTGCTTCTCACTGCATGGTTAGGGCAGTGACTAGATCAGAAACTGCACTCTTTACCATGACCTAAGAACAAAATTCTCTCTCTTCAAGATGAACCGGAACACTCTGGATCCTCTCAGTTCTTAGAAGGAGAAAAAGAATGTGTGTGTCCTAGCTGGGAACTGATTTAAAGTTTTACTTTTGACTTTACAGGTGAAGTAAAGATTTATACTTTGAGGACTAGGAATCTCTTGTCATTCTGCTTGCTGTAGTCACAGGAAACTATTTAGGAATAACCTTCTCAAGTGCCATAATGAGGTATTTGCATTTTGGAGAAATGAAAAGAATTCATTAATAAAAACTTCTTCTAGGCCAACTAAATGCATCAAGGCACATGACACTTCGCAGGACTAAAGGCCAGGAGGAGAGGCACACATTGTCCATGGCACAGTTAGAGGTTATTAACCTTGCTCAAGGATCAAGAAACCACAGAAAAAATAGAAAGAAATGCTGCGAGGTCATATGTCCAACACTGAAGTACAGAAATACAACTTCTTTCCCTTTGGTGGCAAACAGCAATTTCAAAAAGTATTTATGCCTCATTTTCTGACAGTATTCTAGATATAAATCAACTTCATAATGTTCTTGATTATTCTTTATTACAGTGTTGAGATAATAATATACATGGTTTTAAAATAACCTATGCCTGTCTAGTGTAGTTTATATAAAAGCCTCGAATTTAACGGTTGAAACAATGTATTCTGGCTAAAATAAACACTACACATTTCTTTTAAGGGGGTTAAATTTTAAGGAATTAATTGCTATTCTGAACAGTAACTGCTAAAAGCCCCTAAACTTTCAATTATTTGGGTAATTTTGTCCTTCTGAAGAAATAGTAAGAGCAAGCAATATATAGTTATTTTCTTTGCCCAGTAAAACCTCCATTCCAAACAGTTTAGTTAAACATGAACATTTCCCCACAGAAATGTCTTTGAGAAAGTCTTCCACAGTATCTGTATTTCTTTCTACTCTTAGTAGTAAGTATGCATTAATTTAACTTATTCAAGATTGTCTATAATCTTGAAATAATAGATGCGGGAAATTAGATAATGCCATCCAAATGATTGGAATATAGCAGAGAAAGGAAACATTCCATAACAGAATATTAACAATCACTAAGGGCCTACCATATGCAGGTACTATTCCAAGCATACATGTATTATTCAACCCTAAACTCAAATAATTACATGTATGTTGAATATCCTGAAGACAATGGGCATATAAAAGTTAATTAAAAGCAGTGGCTACAAATGAGAGGCATGAGACTGGGATTTCCAATTCTCAACTGCTCTACTGCTTGCTCAGGGAGTTTGCAACCACTGAGCACCTTAGAAGTAAGGGTGGCCATTTCAATCCTATTCATGTAATCCCAGGTTTGGCTATTGTTAATGCCAACAGGGAGTACAATGAAGTCAAGGGATAACACTAAAATTGAAAGACAAGAAAGAATAACCAAAAAGAGATGGAAAAAAGTCCTTCAACTGAGAGAGCTTCTCTCTATATAAACCCAAATGGAAACTTAATAAAACCCAGGAGTTTGAGTTCATTAAACGCAAGCTGCATTAATTCAATATGTAACAATGATCTAGTGAATGTATTAATAAAACAGGCAACCCAATGGCAAATTATGCATTATTTAGCATTAAAATAAGTTACAGAAGTTTATCAATTTGTGAAAAGGAGAATGGAAAAGTTACAAAGTAAAAAAGAGCCAATTTGCAGATAAGAAGCACCTTGATTAAGCATAATAATAAAGAAGGAAGGAGGATATTGGGCAAGTAGAATGTGTGGAAAATGAAGAAATGGTGCTGGAAAAGACTAGAGGAAGAGTGAAAGAATTGACAAAAGTTAGTGATGACAGAAACAATGAAGAAAAACAATTTCTAGCTGTGAGGCAGTTCTTCAGCACAACAGACAACATGGAGGTTCTGAAGTATGACGACCATAAACTATGTTGATTGTATGAAATAGGACTGAAAAGTGGTTTTAAAGGTCCTCCAATTATATGTGGAGAAAATTTTTATGGTTTGTATAAAGGCATGAAATCCGTAGGCATAAAAACGTAGTCATCTTGAAATAAGCTGTCCTTTTCCTCCAGAAAAATCTCTGCTACAAGATGGTAGCCGTGACAAGAGAGTTCCTTTATGAAAACCAGAACACTAGTCTAGGCAGCTGACAACACATCTGTACACAAAACACACCTCATGGTGGCAAAGTTGGAGGGGTAAGCACATTTAAGATCCAGCCCATTAATTTTCTAAGTGGCTCTGGTGTAAGCCACTTACTGTCACTGCGCTTGGTTTCTGTAAGAAGGTGGTAGGAATGCTCATGTTTGTTTTCTTGACTGTCAGGGTACTCTGGGAATTGGGGCTGATCTTCATGAGCTCCTTGGGCACCACAGATGAAAGACACCATAAAACCACCAAGACTTATTATTTGTAAAGCAAGCTAATGCACATGAAGAGGCTTGCACAAGCAAAGCATTTTTAAAGGGAACTTTATGAGGAGGGCATGCAATTTCCTAAGGGCCAAAGATGAAGGCTGGTAGACTCGTTACACAGATATACCAATATGCCCAAAAATGTACACGAGAATCTAAATCGACTCCCTACAAGGATTACCAAAAGCCCAGTATGCACCTTTGTTGCCAACTAGATGTAGGCTCTATACCAACTTCTCATTAATTAGCTCAATCCAGGTATGTTTTGCATTTCAAAGGAGTAGAGGAGCTATAACTAATAAAAACAACCTGTACTTGACATTTTTGCTGAGTTTCAAAGAATGTAACAAATAAGTGTACACTAATTAGCTTTCTCCACAACTCTTTGGGAGGGGATTATTTCTCGACGGCATATACAAGGCTAGGGGCACCCACAGACACAATAAGAAATCTATACTAAAATAATAGGCTTGTGTTTTGATTTTATTCCCAAGTCCACATATTACTACTAAATATTAAATGATTTCTACCTTTGGTCATCTGCTCAGACACAGGGGCAAAAAGAAAGGCAGGACAGAGATACTTTTTCTGGCAACCATATGAGCAGACTGAAGCTTCTAAAGCCATCTGATAAGAGGGAGGGACTTCCACTGCCTGCCTGGCGTCTGGTGTTCAGATAAGATGCTACAGTGGATGCGGAGAGACAATGTCAGGGCATGAAACCAACACCAGTAGACAGGTCTACCCAGAGGAGAGAGAAGCATACATTAGGAAAAACTGAGATGTGAGCAGATGACTACTGGCGGTTCACATCTGCTTCAAAAAGCAGGGCTTTACCTCACCAGGAAAGTTCCACCTGGAAAGCTTTACCTGCATCTCCAGACAAGGCAGCTGTGCTTTTACTTCTGGCCAGGAACGAATGTGTGGGCGTCAGGAGTCTGTTAACAACGCTGCTTTCCCATGGGCTGAGCTGCAGGCGGCGAGCTAAACGTCACCACATAAGCAAGATGTTAGAAGCATTCTTCCCAGGGTCCAGAGGGTGCAGAATATCTTGCCTATCGCTTCCATAGACCTCTGAGGACAGCTGGCGGGGAGTCAGGGCAATAGGAACCTGGCCAGAGGGAGCCGCTACTCCATAATGCTGCCTTTCTTCATCATTGGAACTTTGTGGCAAACTCTAAATCAGTTAAACAAATGTAGATTTTGCAAACCGCCCTCCTTTAGTAGTCAACAGGTAACAAAACAAAGTATCACTTTAACTATAAACTTGGCATGCATTGGTAACTTCTGGGGATATCTATCTGATGGGCATCAGGATGGACAGGGGACTGACAGCACAACCCTCAAAGGGCTTCCCACGAATCTAAATGATAAACTCCAACAGAGGCACTGGCAGGTTAATGGAACTGAATTTATACAAAACATAGAAAGGGTTCCCATTAAATTATGCTAGATCTCCAAGAATTGCTATATGGGTAATTGAGGGGATATAACAGAAATCTGATATAATAAAATGAAAGAAAATGTTCTATAAGGGATTTCTTTTGCCGTTTCCATTCAGGTCTTACTTGGCAACAACATAAACATTTTGGCCAAAGATAAGGCTAAGGCTGAAGTACGATATTTAAGAGAAAAGCCCAAATCCAACATAAACAAATGTAATTGTGGAAGTTACTAGTAGATGTCTGAAGAATCTGGAAAATAAATTTAAAATAATGCAGTGATGTATGGTCCCAAATTATATTAGGGTTTGGCAAGGCCATGGTTAGGCAATGCATCCAAGTAGGAACAGTTACTTTGCTTATATTGTTAGCTTCCAGTGGTAGTCCATGAAAAGAGAGGTTATTTTACCAAAATACCAGTAACGAAGCTTATAAAAATCCTACAAATGTCACTGTAGTAATCACATATCTCTATTTCAGAACACACTCCTAATTTGTAAGTCTTCAAAATGGTCTCAAGCAGACAAGGCCACTTCTGTTCTACTCCACAAACAGCAAGTTCAAATCCCTTTTGCCTCTGGAATAGATGTCCTTAGGACAATCTTGTATATGTCCTATATTAAATGGCATTTTAATTCCGAGAAATTAGTTTTAGCTAATAAAAGCCACATGGTACTAAATATTATTAGAGAAAATATTTGCCCCTACATGGAATGAAGCACCAACATCTTATAAGTGCCTTATTCATCTGATTTTATTTTTTAAAAAGTGGCTATTTTGATCAAGGCTCTGGTGAAGTTAAAGATCAATAAATCATTCATTACATTTTCTGTTTATTAGGAGAGTCTTCATGGTTATCTGACATTAGAACAATAATTAAAAAAAAGTCTGTTATAAAAACTACTGCAATAGTTAAGGTTAGTACCAAAGCACCCCAGTATGAAGTATGGTAGGCAGTATGACAGTGTAACAACAGAACATAATAGAGCCTAAAATCAAAATACCTCCCCAGAATAAAATCAACAGGGAAAAGTGGTTAGGATTAATGCAAAAGTCTTCAACAGAATAATAGTTGAATAGTTAAAAAGGGAAGAAATAAGAGTGCTTTTTCTTCCTTAAACTGTAGGATGACTGGCTTAGAACAGCAGAGGTGAACTGTCATCAAAAAGATAAGTCTCTTTTCTTTTCTCCATTAAGAAGTTCAATTACTTTATTTCTCTGAGTTTCTAGGCATCAACCAAAGAATTTGCCTCAAAGGAAGTTTGCGTTAAAAACCTACTTTTAACTTGCCTATAAAGCAAGTCCCAAAAGATTTGTTTCTTAGCTTCTGACATTGTAAATGGAAAGATTTTTCTAGAAGATGTATGCTTTCTATACATAACTATATCTTCCATAGGATAACGTTTTAGTAAAGATTAGTAAAGGTAAGTTAGTTGATTTTTTTTTTAACCTAAGGGGAGCCTGATTTAAGATAGTCTGAAGCTGAAGAAAGAGCTAGTAACTTTTCTAGAACAACTCTAGGGTACTGATTGTATGTAAACATTTAAAAATGAGACATTGACGATTTGCAATCAAACTCAATGGCCTCTGAGGACATGCAGTTTATCATCAATAAGTGATCTGGGCTAAACAAACGTAGATATCTCCACTACTACATTCTCCCTATAAGCACGGAACTCAGTTTCAGGTAATCAGTCCCATACAGAAATTAGGCAAGTGTTTCCAAATCCTCATTTTTTAAAAAAATTATTTTATTTAGCTTTATTTATTTAATTATTTAATTTGACCAGAGAGGGACAGAGTAGAGAGAGATAAAGAGGGGAGAAAGTGAGAAAGTAAGCCACCAGGTCCAGGACCCAAACCGTGGTCGGCCATGCGAGAGTCCAGCTCCTTTAACCACCATGCCACCAGTGTTTTTTTTTTTATTAGAAGTAAATGTTATATGATGCTAAATGGTATATGAAGCAGAAAACCTAAATGGTATCTTTTAGATGTCAGCAATTAATTAAAATTAAAACAAGAATGAAAACATTGCTTAGGTTAAAAAAAAAGAAGCCTATGGTAGGACAATCTTGTATATGTCCTATATTAAATGGCATTTTAATTCCGAGAAATTAGTTTTAGCTAATAAAAGCCACATGGTACTAAATATTATTAGAGAAAATATTTGCCCCTACATGGAATGAAGCACCAACATCTTATAAGTGCCTTATTCATCTGATTTTATTTTTTAAAAAGTGGCTATTTTGATCAAGGCTCTGGTGAAGTTAAAGATCAATAAATCATTCATTACATTTTCTGTTTATTAGGAGAGTCTTCATGGTTATCTGACATTAGAACAATAATTAAAAAAAAGTCTGTTATAAAAACTACTGCAATAGTTAAGGTTAGTACCAAAGCACCCCAGTATGAAGTATGGTAGGCAGTATGACAGTGTAACAACAGAACATAATAGAGCCTAAAATCAAAATACCTCCCCAGAATAAAATCAACAGGGAAAAGTGGTTAGGATTAATGCAAAAGTCTTCAACAGAATAATAGTTGAATAGTTAAAAAGGGAAGAAATAAGAGTGCTTTTTCTTCCTTAAACTGTAGGATGACTGGCTTAGAACAGCAGAGGTGAACTGTCATCAAAAAGATAAGTCTCTTTTCTTTTCTCCATTAAGAAGTTCAATTACTTTATTTCTCTGAGTTTCTAGGCATCAACCAAAGAATTTGCCTCAAAGGAAGTTTGCGTTAAAAACCTACTTTTAACTTGCCTATAAAGCAAGTCCCAAAAGATTTGTTTCTTAGCTTCTGACATTGTAAATGGAAAGATTTTTCTAGAAGATGTATGCTTTCTATACATAACTATATCTTCCATAGGATAACGTTTTAGTAAAGATTAGTAAAGGTAAGTTAGTTGATTTTTTTTTTAACCTAAGGGGAGCCTGATTTAAGATAGTCTGAAGCTGAAGAAAGAGCTAGTAACTTTTCTAGAACAACTCTAGGGTACTGATTGTATGTAAACATTTAAAAATGAGACATTGACGATTTGCAATCAAACTCAATGGCCTCTGAGGACATGCAGTTTATCATCAATAAGTGATCTGGGCTAAACAAACGTAGATATCTCCACTACTACATTCTCCCTATAAGCACGGAACTCAGTTTCAGGTAATCAGTCCCATACAGAAATTAGGCAAGTGTTTCCAAATCCTCATTTTTTAAAAAAATTATTTTATTTAGCTTTATTTATTTAATTATTTAATTTGACCAGAGAGGGACAGAGTAGAGAGAGATAAAGAGGGGAGAAAGTGAGAAAGTAAGCCACCAGGTCCAGGACCCAAACCGTGGTCGGCCATGCGAGAGTCCAGCTCCTTTAACCACCATGCCACCAGTGTTTTTTTTTTTATTAGAAGTAAATGTTATATGATGCTAAATGGTATATGAAGCAGAAAACCTAAATGGTATCTTTTAGATGTCAGCAATTAATTAAAATTAAAACAAGAATGAAAACATTGATTAGGTTAAAAAAAAGAAGCCTATGGGCAGAGTTCAACTTGAAGTCCACCACTGTGTGTCCTGTAATATAGATTCTAGAAAAGAAACTTGACGAATTTTAAGCAAAGTAGATAAATTCTTTTTTGTTTTTGAATCCCCTATTGTTCTATTGTTTTTTTCTTGGGGGAAAACAAAAAAGCTGGTTAAGCAGGTATTTAGAGATAATAATATGTACTTCTAATGCAAAAGTTTCTGGTAGCAACATTCTCTCTGTTGTGGTAATTACAGAAACCTTAACCTACAGGCTTCCTTTAACCTACCTAATTTCATCAGGCTTATATTTAGAACAGTATACTCAGGTATAACAATCAAAATATTTAAAACTTGGTAGGGCACAGGCACAGAGCTAATGATCAACCTCCATTAATTTTGGAGAACTTTAGGAAGTCTATCTTGGGGAAGTGGCTATTTATATTATTGTCAAGTGATATGGAAATGTTTGTTTTGTTTTGTTTTTAGGTCTTTTTTTTTGGAGAGATTTTCACTGTAGGGCGCGTGCGCTCGCCAGACAGAGACAGACATAGAGACAGAAAGCGAGAAATTACCCCCCAGGGGGGATGGTCACGCCGCAATCCCTTCTCCTCCATTCTCCTCTCGGGATCTTGGGCACACACGCACACGTGCCCGGCGTGAGTTTTAAGCCACTGGGTCCGGGACACGAACCACGGTCGACTACGTGGGAGTCCAGCGACATAGCCATTACGCTAACTGCTGGTTCCCGGTCTTTTAAAATATTATTTTACTTTATTCTTCATCATTATCGTCATCATCATCATTATCAACATCACTATTACTATTTGACGAGAGAGAGTAGGCAAGCCACTTGAACCATGGTTGGCTACAGACTTGAACCATGGTTGGCTATGTGGGAATCTAGCACTTTAACCACCATGCCACCTGCTGGCCCCTTGTTTTTAGTTTTTTGTCACTGGGTATATGTATTTGCTTGAGAGAAACAGAGACAGAGAGAAGAAAAATGAGAAATCAGCCACCAGGGAGACGACCACACCACAATCCCTTCTTCTCCATTTTTCTCTGGGGATTTTTGGGCATGCAGGCACATGTGCTCGGCATGTTTTTCTAGCTGCTGGGTATGGGGCTTGAACTGCAGTCAACCAAGTGGGAGTCAAGTGCCTTAACTACCATGCCACCTGCTGGTCCCCTATTATGGCATTTCTAACTACCAGTAGAGCTGTTCAGATGCATTTGGCCTGACTATCAGCCCTGATGGTATCAGAGTTGCAAATTAATATCAGCTTTAAGGCCTAAACCATAGGCCTGAGAAAGCTCAAGCGATCTAGTAATGATGTCTCTACTCTAAACAGATTTGTTTATAAAGGCCTTTAATGTAATATGTGGTAAGAAGGCTTTCTCATAAGATAACAAAACATGATCAGTTTTGTTTTTTGGTTTTTTTTTGGAGAGATTTTCACTGTAGGGCGCGTGCGCTCACCAGACAGACAGAGACAGACATAGAGACAGAAAGCGAGAAATCACCCCCCCGGGGGGATGGTCACGCCGCAATCCCTTCTGCTCCATTCTCCTCTCGGGATCTTGGGCACGCACACACACGCGCCCGGCGTGAGTTTTAAGCCACCGGGTCCGGGACACAAACCGCGGTCGACTACGTGGGAGTCCAGCGACATAGCCATTACGCTAACTGCTGGTTCCAAAACATGATCAGTTTTTAAAAATAGAAAAGAAAGCTAACTAAATCACTTCAATTTCTTAATTTGAATTCAGAAGAATTTCTATTCCAACCTGGCCTATCAGACCAGGAACTGGTTCATTATTTTTTTTTAAAATAAGGAAGCAGAGAAGCAGAACTCTCAAATCCAGTTTAGTATTCAATTTTCTAGGGCTGTACCATGATCTCAGGGGCAGTTTCCTGGCCCCAGTTATGGACCGATTATTGAATTTCCCTCAACTTCTATGTCCTAACTCTCTGCTTCTAACCTTCTCCAAAGGCTGAATGCACAGAGTCTATGTTGACATAAGGAAGGACATGCTGGAATACAAGAACTGAAGACACAGTACAGCATCTCTAGGGGGGAGGAGTCCGTAATCTCTGTCCTAGAAACTTTTTTGCAATGATTTGCCTGCAGGACTTCAAGTCAGGATCTTGACTCTAGGGACTCTATTATCTCACTTAGAGTTGATGATCCAGATACCAGGTCTTTCTCATCTCATTCCTAAGAGCCCATTATCTTAAGAATATCCAATTAGATAGTATCATGCAGAGTCCATAAAAATATCTCACTTCTAATCAATACAGACAATTCAGCATTGTCATTCTACAGATACTAGGATAAGATACTATCATTTCCTGACACTAATAATAATTTTAGCCACAGGACTGTAGGCAGTAAGCAAGTTTAACTTAAAAGTACAGTAATATCTTCAAGGCCAGCAGGTGGTAATAGTGATTAAGGTGTGGAATTCCCACATGGCCAACCATGGTTTGGGTCCTGGGCCTGGCGGCTTGAAAATCATGCTGGGTGCATGTGCGTGCATGCCCGAAGTCCCAGAAGAACAGAGGAGAAGGGACTGCAATGTGGCCATCCCCCTTTGGGTGATCTCTCACTTTCCATCTGTTTCTCCCTCTGGTTAACGCACTAATTGCAGTTTGTCTCAGACCGTAGTTCATGGTTTATAAAGTTAAAATGGTAAGTAAGTGACCAACTCCAACATAAACATAAATAGACAACTGTAAGGATAGCATGTACATGCTATATTTATGTTATATTGAGGGAATAGGTTTGAAAATAAAAGTTTATGAGGGAAATACAAATTCTTAATGCTTTAACGTAAAAGGTCCCTAGCTTGACTACATGTCTAATATTGGTAACTGAGGCAAATTAGGTTAAAAAAAGAGAAAGTTTCAATTAAAAGGCAAAAATAGGAAGTATTTCAAACATTAACTCTAAGAGATTAGTTATAAAATAACACCAACACTTATATAATATTATACATTACAATGGCACCATAAAGATTTTTTTGTAAAACATACAAATACACATCCACACTTACAGAACATGCACACAATACATTCTGTTTAAAGATTAAGAACATCGACATTTTCCCAATCGGCTTCTTAATAAAATACTCAAAGTCACTACAATGTGCTACTTTTAAAAAGTATGTGCTTTTTATATTGCACAAGAATTCTTTGGTTTTATTTCAAATCATCTTAATTACGTAAAGCAGTAACTTATCTTAAAAGCTTGATTTTTTCCTCCTACGATATACATGAAACCTTCAACTTATAAATAACTCAGCATTCATGTACTGTAAATCCGTGAGATGAACCAAACTTAAAATTTAAATAAGATGTTAATTAGAGGGTTATGATTATTAAACGTTTCAAGGGCTATAATGGTAATGATATTCTTGAAGTTAATCGAAGTTCCTCAAGAGCAAATGAATGGACACCGAGTAACCAATCACACACATAAGAGATGCAGTAAGAAACATTTGGTTAAATGAGAAATAAATTGGCAAAATGAAATTGATCAACATGAATCATTTAAGAATTTTTTTTCTTTTAAAGAAAGTCAGAGCCTGGAATCCCAAAGTACACATGAAAAGCTGAAGACGATATGATTGAAGTAAGAGAAATGTTCGTAACAAAGGTTATTTGTATTTTGGTGGATAAGTGGGTGATTTCTGGAGCTTTAAATTCATGTACTAAAAGGTTGAGAGAAGCACTGTTTTCATCACTGCTAAATGCAAATCTTTCAGCCAGGTTCTAAAATGAGAACTGTTCTCGCCGCAAGGAAAATGCTGCTCAGCCGTCTATTGCTTTTTTACTCTGAAGTTTTTTTCTTCC